CGGATGGTAACTTCGGCAGCGCTATGAAATGTGCCTGCTTCGAGAACAGGTCCATCACTGTCCAAATGTAGCACTGGCCTCGGCTATTGGGGAGTTCGCCCACAAAATCCATGGCAATTACCCTCCAAGGTTTCGATGGTTCTGCCACCCTCTGCAACAATCCCGTTGGTTTTTGTGTGGTTGCCTTACTTTGTGCACACGCGTTACACTGGGATACATACAATTTTGTGTCACCCCTCATTCCGGGCCACCAACATTGGCGTGCCAGTGACTTCAGGGTTTTCGTGACCCCCCAGTGTCCTGCCCCCTTGCTGCCATGGCACCTGACCATAATTTTTCCTCGTAAGTTGATTGGGATGTACAATTTCTTGTTCACAAACCCCAATCCATCCTTCCATTCCACCTTTTCCTTATTTCTTTCCAACCACTCATCCTCCTTGCATGCTTGCCTTATCTCCTCCTCCCATCCCCCGTCTTTGCTCTCAACCCCCACTAGCCTTTGACTGCGCTCCGTTTGTGCTCGGGTTTGTACTGCCATGCCCCACTGTCGCTCTGAGAATATGCTCCCCTTTGGGCCTTGCCCCCTCCCTCCATTCTCCGGCATTCTTGACAACGTGTCCGCGACCACGTTTTGTTTCCCCTTGTGAAACCGCAGCTCAAAATCAAATCGGCTGAAATACTGCCCCCATCTTATTTGCTTTGCTGACAACTGCCTGGGTGAAGTGAGGTATTGCAAGTTTTTATGGTCGGTCCACACCTCAAAAGGTATGCCGCTTCCCTCTAATAAATGTCTCCATATTTCCAGAGCCCTTAAGATTGATAGAGCCTCCTTTTCCCATACTGGCCAGTTCCATTCAGTTTCACTGAACTTTTTTGAGATGAACCCGCAGGGTTTTAACCTCCCTTCCGGATCCCTTTGCATCAATGCTGCCCCGTAAGCCCAATCCGATGCGTCACAGTGGATCACGAATGGCTTGGTTAAATCGGGGTGGATTAGGATCGGTTCCTCAGTGAATTTGCGTTTCAGTTCTTCAAACGCACTTTGGCACTCCGTTGACCAATTTAATTTTGCCCCCGGGGACCGTACCTTTACTGTCTCCCCCTTTCCCTTTGTTTTCAGCAGTTCAGTCAGGGGCAGAGTCACCTGGGCAAAGTCCTCTATGAACCCCCGATAAAAGTTAGCAAATCCCAGGAACGACTGCAATTGCTTGCGTGTTTGGGGGGGTCCCCACCCCCCTGACATCCTCTACCTTTGAGGGATCCATTGCTATCCCACCCTTGGAGATTCGGTATCCCAAGAAGTCTATTTGTTCCTTATTTAATTCGCATTTCGATAACTTAGCAAACAGCTTTGCTTCCCTCAACTTCTGGAGTACCTCCCTCACCAACCGGACATGAGATCGCTT